TTTCCCCCTTCTATAATGAATAATAAAGAACTGTGACTTTAAATTTGGCACAATCTGAATTTATTTTTTTGGTACCACATGCCAGTGTAAAAAGAAGTTGTTAAAAGGATATTGAGTAGAGAAATTTCCACACTATCTATTAGCAACATATTTGATGCAGTGCCATGCTTAATTAATATTAGTGTCAGTTCACAAAATTGTGCTCTTTGCAAGAGAGGAGGATTCTGTGTAGAGCAGGCAGACTTAAGAAATGTATGGTCTCTGCGTAATGTGTTGAGAGTCTCCTCCTTTGCTTGTTAGACTTTTTATAAGTAGTCCAAGTATGCGATTCATAGATTTTCAGCACTGATCGAAGAACATTCTTTGAGGGTTTATCTTCTATTTGCCTCCAATTTACTTTTTTCTAAGGACATATTTAGTTTTCCATGCATCTGGTGTGTACCTTAAGCTAAAACCTTTATAAACATGTAGCTCCCAGGAACCCGTAGCAGCCCGGCAGAGTAATCATGCCGCTTGCCAGCGACCTGCGCTCCGGCGCCTGGGTCCTGTCTCAGCCCCTTGCTCTGCGCTGCCGGTGGCCTCCGCGTCCCCGCTTGGGGAGCTGTCGCTCTGTTCAGTGCTTTGATCAGGCACGCGTGCCGTGCCCAGTGGCTCTGAGTGTCCCCTCTGGTGTTAGCTGCTTAGTACAGACGAGGGCGGAAGGGGCTGGGCCTGCGTGAGGAAGCAGGCCCTCTGGCACAGCCCTCAGGGTCAGGCTTGCTGAGGGTGCCATCCTGTGGCTCAGTGTGACCTTCCTGAACGGGGTGTTTCCCCAGCTCCATTCCTGCCTCGTCTCCCCCAGCAGCTGGAGGCAGCCGGTCGATTCTGAATGCTGCCCACAGATTGTTAGCTATTCTGCTTCTGGGTCCCCAGCTAGCCCCTTGAGTAAGGAATTGATGTGTTTAAGATCCTGGACTATGTTGCTTAGTGACTCAAATTTAATGTGCGCCAAGGAATGCCTGGAGTTGAAGGCTCGACCCCAGACAAGTGGAATGCAGACCGCGTCTGTGCGGCTGGCGCGTTGTGTGCTCCCCGCGCAGGCCTGGGGCCCAGACGCCACCGTTCGCTCGGCTGGCCCCCGGCAACCTGGACTCGTTTGTTTGTTTGTGTTTTAATTCTCACATGAGGATATTTTTCCATTTATCGTCAGAGAGAGTGGGAGGGAGGGAGGGAGGAACATGGATGTGAGAGGGACACATAGAGTGGTTACCTTTCGCAGGACCCCGACCAGGGCCGGGGACAAACTGCAACCGAGTTACATGTCCGTGACTAGAATCAAACCACTACTCTTTGGTCTGTGGGCCGATGCTCTAACCATTGAGAAAACCGGTCACAGCCCCAACAACTTTTAATATATGTTCCATTGTTGCCCACATTTTATAGATAAAGAGCCAGAGAAATATTAAATGCCTCGCTCGAGATGGTCTGTTGAGGGACAGTCGCACACCCCGGAGCCCTTCCTTTGACCGCAGCGCCGGCCACTGCTCTGTCGCGTGTGGATCTTACTGGAAGGAAGACAGGAATCTGATGTTTTAGTTTTTAAAACCTCTCGTGTCCTTCTTCTATGATAGATTATTACTTAATGCAGTTTTCTCTGGAGAGAGAAGAATACATTTCAGTATGTATTACCACATTCCCTTTGTGTGAAGTCAGATATACTTGTTATGAAATCTAAAAGCACATCCACGCTATACCACTATCTTAGTAAACTGAAATATTCATTAAGTGCTTAGTGCATGTTATAAGACCTTCATAGCCAACTTTGTTCTCACGGATAATTAGGTTTGGTTTTCTCTTTACCATATGGAAGTCCTGTTTCCTCAGAATGCAAATGCAATTCACAGCGTCCACTGTGCTCAGGAGGCCCCGCTGGAGTGTCCTCCCCTTTCAGAGGGCCAGTCCTCTTTGGGTGTGAAAAAGTGCAAAACATTGTCAAATGCATTGAAGACTCTCATTCCACACCTCCGTCCCCCCGTCCCATCACTTGCTCTGTGTTATCCATTGTAGGCACGGCAGAGAAAGGGGTTTCAGGCCAGTCTTTGGACAGTTGATGATAAACACACCGTAGCTGTGCTCCCCAGCCTTTGTGCGCAGTGGCACACAGAGAACGCAAAGCATCTTCTCTGGGGGAAACAAACGAGGTTCCTTGAGACTAGAGGTGCCCACTGTCACCTACCCACGACCTCAGTTGTACCTGTATCCATTTCCCATCACGTGCATGAGTTTCTAAGCTTATTGTGTACATGACAGCACTCTGTCAGCTATGATGTGCTATTCATGTGTGAGATGTTATTAGTGATTCATTATTAGGACCCAGCTATTCTATAAAAGGACATTGTGTACTATGATTTTTGTTGTTGTTGTTTTGGGAACTGTTCTTAAAGAGCTAGGTGCAGATGCCAGACCAGCTGCTGGAGTTAAGGTTCCTGTGTGTGATTTGGTGCAGAAGTGGGAATGCCAGTGGTCAGGGACCTTGTGGTTCAAGACTTCGTAGGAAATCAAACAGCGGGTGAGATTTGTTGGTGATTCTGCCGTTTCTCCTCATAAACTTCTCTACCCTCCTTTCTGCCTATCCCAGTTCTTTCCCAGGTTCTGCCTTCTTTGTGAGGTCTTTCCCTATGCCTGCTGCTTCCCCCAGGTGAAGGTCACACCCTGTCCTCTGTCTACCATTACACCTTGTGTAAAACGTCATTGCTTATATTGCAACACTATTGCTGGTCTGTTTCACACACGTCTTTCCCTACTGACTTGGGAGCTCCTTCAGGCTGAGGCTGTCTGGTGCATCTCCAGCTCAAGCTACACCAGCTCATCTTACTATATCCTGCCATCGGGCAGGGCTCACCTGCTCTTCGAGTTGAGCTAAAGGCTGTCTCCTTGCACCTGCTTCCCGTTGTTCCTTATTCTAACATCTGCAACGCTCCAAGCTCAGTTCCTCTATGCTGGCCATCACACATTTGAGCCGTCTACCAGGCAGAGTCCTACACAGTCTTCATTTCTCTGGGCTAAATGTTTTTAGTACTGATAGTTTGTTTTCCTGGTCTTTCTCCTGTGGTTTTTTTTTGTTTTGTTAATCCTTACCTGAAGATATTTTTCCATGATTTTTAGATAGAGTGGAAGGGAAGGAGAGAGAGAGAGAGAGAGAGAGAGAGAGAGAGAGAGAGAGATTGACGTGAGAGAGACACATGATTAGACACAAAGGCTGGGGAGCACAGCTACGGTGTGTTTATCATCAGCTGTCCAAAGACTGGCCTGAAACCCCTTACTCTGCCGTGCCTACAATGGATAACACAGAGCAAGTGATGGGACGGGGGGACGGAGGTGTGGAATGAGAGTCTTCAATGCAGTTGACAATGTTTTGCACTTTTTCACACCCAAAGACACAATCATGAACCTGACCAAGGCTGGGGATCCAACCTCTAAGCCTGGTACCTGCCCTTGACTGGAATCAAACCTGCGGTTCTTCAGTCCGTGGGTCGATGCTCTAACCACTGAGCAAGCCAGCCAGGGCTCCTGGTCTTTCTGTTTTGTTTAAATAAGTGTGAGTTTTCTTTATCTCTCCCAGTGTTTAGAATCATAGAATTTTAAGAATTGAAAGGGGCTAGAATTTGCCTAGTCCTGGCTCTTCATCCAACTAATACTCACTGATTACATACTGATTGGGTTATTGAAAATGGCATACAGAGAGATTTGGGGCACCACAATATTTTAAATATTTCACTAAGAATAAAGAGGAAGTTTAGATTTAGTAGATTTTTTAAAAAGTACATCTTTCATTGTTTTAAAATTTTTGTGCTGCTGGGTATGTTCAGAATAATGAGCAAAATAAGGTGTTTATGCTAAAACATATACAGTACAGGAAGATCTTTAGATTTTTAAAAATGTTTTTATTGATTTTTTTTTAAGAGAGAGGAGAGATAGATATAAACATTGATGTGAGAGAGAAACATTGATCAGCTGCCTCCTGCATGCCCCCTGCTGGAGATCAAGTCTGCAACCTGGGCATTTGCCCTGACCGGGAATTGAACCAGGACCTCTCAATCCACTGAGCCACACTTGCCAGGCAGATCTTCAGATATTTGTAGTGTTGTCATTAGGAATTTGACTCTTGTCCTGGCTGGTGTTGCCCAGCGGTTAGAGCACCGATCTGCACGTCCTGAGTTCGATTTGTCGGTCGAGGGCACACACCTGCTTTGCAGGTTCCGTCTCTGGCCCCGGTTGGGGTTGTGCAGGAGGCAACCAATCGGTGTGTCTCTCACATGATGCTTCTCTCTTTCTCACTTACCCTCCCTCCCTGCCTTCCACTCTATCTGAAAATTGGTGGAAAAATATCCTTGGGTGAGGATTAACAACAAGAGGAAAAAAAGAATTTGATGACAAAGCTAAGCTACCTGGGCCCCGGTCCTGGATCTGTATATATAAATGTAATCTCTTTGTGTCTCAGTTGCTGTATTCGTGAAACAAGGTCAGTGATAATGTGGGGTGTTGTGAGGTTTCTGTGAGGTAGTACTCGCACAGCTCTGAGAACTGTGCCTGGGGACTGCCACCACCCAGCACCATCGCCCAGCACACATGCTCCTACTGAGACGTAGGACGCGTCTTGGGGTTCTGCTTGGCCCTTACCCATCATCTGTACTCACCACGTGATTCATTGGCTTTCTAAGAGGCCCCGCGTGGAATTCTCTGCACCAGGCGTGGCCTGTGGAGCAGTGAAGTTCTTTCTTGGTGTTTTCCTGCAGAAGCAACTGAAGAACTGGCAAGAGGCTCACTAGCTTTTGAGTCTGTCCCTCTGAGACAGATTTGCTGAAAAGCCATTTCCTGTCTTTTTAAACAGTAAATTCATTTTCTTCATTGATATTCTGTAAACAAAATATTGGCAGCTTGTGTTTTGTGGAATACAATGTTTTAATTTTCTTCAGTTAAACTGCTTTTATAATAATCAGAGTGAATTTCCCCGTTGCCAGGTTGCCATCAAGATCATAGACAAGACACAGCTAGATGAAGAAAACTTGAAGAAGATTTTCCGGGAAGTTCAAATCATGAAGATGCTTTGCCACCCACACATCATCAGGCTTTACCAGGTGGGCGCCCCGGGGTACACTGTGCGCAGCAGAAGCCAGCCTTTGTGCAGGGGCGGGCGCCTCTGCAGCTGCTCTGTGTTCGCGTGTTCATCCCGCGCCCCCGCCGCTGTGTCCTCCTGCTCGGTGCCCATGCTCCTCTGGCCCTTGACGAGAAAGGTCCCACCCAGACTGGCATTTCAAAGTTGTTCTTTGAAACTTGGATGCCATTCTTAGTGAAAATTACATAAAAAGGTTATTCAGAAGATGATGAGAACTTACTTATTTAGGTCAGAACCCTAAAACAGAATGGGAAACTCAAAAGGAACAGAATTTTGAGAGGTGCAAAGCTAGAGATGAGTATAACATTATGTTTATAAGATTATTTGAAGACTGATTTCTGTGATGATGTTATGAGTTATGACGACAAAGGATATTTTAAGCATGGCTTTTTTGTATTAGTCAGAACTTACCTCCTTTCTATTCTAGTAGTGCTGTGATGTAGTTTTTAGTTTTCCAGGGAAGCATTTGATTATTTTGATAGCCAAGAGACTGAGTGTGTGACAGAAGAGACTCCTAATGTAGTCTCCTCACCTTCCCAAGAAGCCTGCGTACTCTGCGGTCAGCACAGGTCATCCCCGGGCCCGGCTGCGGGCAGTGGTCTGACTGCTGGAACTCGGTGGCAGTGACCGTTCTGGAGAGGTGGGCTCAGGTTGCAGCACTGGCGGCCACAGCTCTGCCCCTGCACAGAGCCCGTCCTGCTCGCTGCTTCCTGCTGCAGACACCACCTCGTTCTGTAGGAAGTGGCCCCCCCGCTCAGGTGCTGCTGTGCGTCTGCAGGAAACGGTTGCTGGCTCAGAAGAAATCAAGTCGTGATGTTGGTTTGTTTGGTTAAGGCTACAGCTTGAGGGCTCTTTTCAGGCATCAGCTAGCCACACAGTGAAGGACCTAGGCCATCAGAGCAGACCTGCTGACGTAGATCAGGCTGTTACGCTGAGCCACACCTACACTGTGCCCCAGGGAAGACCTGTGTCTGCAAGCTCAGAGGTGTCTAACCTCTGCTTCCTTCCTATCCTGATAGACTGAGTCAACTTTTTGACCTCATTTTAAAAAATAATCATCTTTAAATGATTATAGGTCTTTTCGGCCGACCTTTCTCAAGAAATTAACTTACAGTGTTCACCTTATAACTCAATTCTTCAGGTTTGCCTTTCTTGCCCCAGATTCATGAGCCTCTGAGTGTCCACGCTGTCAGCCCTGGCTCCGAGGGGGCTGCTCTCTGGCAGCTTTGACTCCGCTCTGGCCGCTGGGCTGAGAGGGAGAGGCAGCTGCCGGGGTGGGGGTGGGGGTGGGGGTGGCTGCAGCCTGTTTCCAGGGCGTTTGCAAAGCTCCCTTCTCCTCAGGGTTATAGAGCCAGCCAAATGTAGGTGAGCTCTTGAAAAGTTTAATAATACAAGAACCTTTGCAGTCAAAGGTCTGGGTGGGAAAAGGGTACATTTACAATATGGCATTTCTTTTCTAAAGACCTGCATATATTTAGAGCACCTACTTTTTGTTATATAAATCAACAGAGAGAGAGAACTTGGAAGCAATGGGTTAATGTCACCAATATATAGCTTTTTTTTAAATCTTCACCCGAGGATATGCTTCACTGATTTTAGAGAGTGGGGAAGAAGGGAGAAAGAGAGAGAGGTACAAGAGGAACTTCGATTGGCTGCCTCCCGTATGTGCCCCACTCGGAACAGAACCGGCAGCTTTTCGGCCGGTGCACAGGATGACACCCCAGCCAACGGAGCCACCGGCCAGGACCACATAGAGTTCTTAGACACCGGTATTAGATTGAGAAATTAAATTAATGGGCACTTACACAGTGGGGTGCCATGAAACCATTGAAAAAGAAGAGGTAAATCTATTGTAGTGTGATGCATTATACTGTTACATGATACTAATGTGTGCAGATGCCACAGATAAAGTAACTGGGAAGTAATTAACAAAATAATTAACTGAGAAGTGGAGTGAAAGTCTGGAATATCTCAATATGATAACCACTAGCGCACATGCTGTTGAATATTAAAATGTGGCTGGAACAAATGAACTGAATTTTAATTTAATTTAAATTAATTTGAATGTAAAAACTGAAGCAGTTTACAGTTTTAAGAAATTTTTGAATTGATTTTGGACATATTGGGCTAAATATTAGAATTAATTTAGCCTTTTAAAAACGTTTAATGGGATTACTAGAAAAGTTAAATCATATGTGCTGCTCATATTATATTTCTAATGGCAATTCCCTAGGATGATGTAGAATAAGCTACTCACAGTGTTTCCTCTGGGAAATAAAGTGGAGGGGTTTGGGAAGAGGTAAGCTTTTGGTCTTTATTTATATACTAGGTATTTAAAATGTTTATAATGAGATTATACATTCATATCTTAGTTAAAAAATATTTAATGAAAAAGACAAGAAGGCTGACAACACACTACAACTAATTTAAAAAGTAACAAATATTAGCAAAATATATACTCATTAATATTTATTATATTTATATAATATATTACATGCTTATATAATTATATATCAAATATATAAATATATAAAACTATATTTAGCCCTGGCTGGGTGGCTCAGTTGGTTGGAGTGTCGTCCTGATAAGCCAAAGTTGCGGATTCGATCCCAGGTTGGGGTGTGTACGGGAGACATTTAATTGATGTTTCTCTCTTGCATTAATATTCCCCCCCTCTTTCTCTCTCTAAAATCAGTAAAAACATGTCCTCAGGTGAGGATTAGAAGTAAATTTTAAAACTATATCTAAGTATATATTAGCAAAATAAAGACCAAGACAAAGTACAAATAGGTAGGTTATGTTATTAGAAGTGTTGAATATTTACATTATTGATAAATGGATGGTGGGAAGGAAAGTTGTCATTTCTATTTTTTAAAAATCAGAGCCATATGTGATTTCTGTGCATTTTTTTAGTGATTCCTGTTGTTTTCTTAAGGTTTTGCTTAGTTTAAATTTTGGGGGGAACATTTTGAGCTTCAAGTAATCAGTTCTAAATGTGAACTTTGGGTTCTTGGCGGCTTCTTTGCTTCTCGGTTTTGTGGAGTTTACGGGTCACAGAGGCCTTATGGAACAACTGAAGAAATACCTCTCAAGTAGCAAATATTTCCTACTTTTAAGAACTTGAAGGAATGCCTATTTTCCCCCTTTCCTCTTCTTTTTTTTTTATTATTGTTATTATTATTATTTTGCTACATATGTTTTTTCTTTTTCCCTCATTGACACCCTCCTCCCAATCCCCTTTCTTCTGAATACATTTATATTACCCACTCCCACCAGTGTTTCAGTTTCCTTTAAGCAATAATGATGGTTGATATCTCAGATGACAAAAGAGGAGTCATTAGTTTCTCCTGTGATGTCAGTGTCACTGTGTCACTGCCTGTCCCTTTCCTGCCTTTGCACCAGGTGATGGAGACAGAACGGATGATTTATCTGGTGACAGAATATGCTAGTGGAGGGGAAATATTTGGTAAGTACATTTATTGCATTCTTTAAACAGCTCTGGAGCACAATGTCAAACCTAAAATAGCTGTTCGATGTCTTTGTCGCTTGAGCAGCTGTCACTGGATGCTGCCCTTGAGTGCTGTCATTTTCTGTCAACACAGTCATTTTAATTACTTTTGATTCACCCATTTAAGTCTCTTCACTGTCTTCATTTCCTTTGCAAAGGTGTTTTGTTTATTTCAATCAGGTGTTGACAGTTGAGATGAAAGATCTCTAAGAATGAACGTTCCTTCTGAACATGTGACGGAGGGTCTTTCCTGGTGCCAGGTTCTCACTGGGTCACCGGGGCAGTCTCTGCTGTGTGAGAAAGAGGCAGTTGGGGCGAGCGTGTCTCCCTGGCGCAGCCTCGCACCGTGTTTAAGTGGGACATGTAACTGGAGTCCCTGCCGTGTGCGTAGCACTTCCTTGGTGATTCTCGTAATATTGGAGGTCTGTCTTCAGTGGCTGTTTTTGCCTCTGACACTTAGCACAACATGAGAATTAAGCAGGCTAATCTGTTACCATGAAATCTGACTTTTCAAGGTGATAAAAACTGACTGCCCCAATTTTTTTTATGACAGTTGTAAATGGAGCCAAAGGGAGCTGAAGGCTAAACTTCAGGTCTGGGTGGGTGTGTCTTTCTAGTCCTGGTTTTTTCCTTTTGGCAAAGTGACTGCAGAGAGAAGTTCTTCTTACATAATAGAGGGTTATCTAGTTTCGTTTTTTGGTTTAAATGTGGATGGTAAGGTATTGACACTTACTAATTTAAAATATGTTTAAAAGTATGAAATCACTTTTAAAGTGGAATCTCATAAATGACAGATCAGCTGTGAGTGGAATTTTTGGTGTGTTGACCTTTCTTCCCTTCCCCTTTCTCCTCCCCTGGGGTATTTTCTGTTTACTTCAGACAGAGCAGGAGGGAGGAAGAGAGAGAGAGAGACAATCGATGTGAGAGAGACACATCAATTGGTTGCCTCCTGCACAACCCCAACCAGGGCCAGGACCCAACTGCAACCCAGGTACATGCCCTTGACCGGAATTGAACCCGAGACTCATTGATCCACGGGCTGATGCTGGGCCACACAGGCCAGGGCCCCTTTTTAAAAAAATATATATATATTTTGCCCTGGCCGGTTTGGCTCAGCGGTTAGAGCGTGGGCCTGCGGTACAGAGAGACCCGGGTTCGGTTCCTGCTAAGGGCACGTACCTCGGTTACAGTTTGTCCCCGGCCCTGGTTGGTCGTGTGGGTGGCGATGTGTCCCTTTCACGTTGATGTTTCTCTTTCTCCCTCTTTCTTCCTCTCTCCCTCCCACTCTATGTGAACAAAAAAATGGAAAAACGTCCTCGGGTGAGGATAAAAAAAAAAAGAAAGAAAATATTTTTATTGATTTTTTTTCTTTCTTTTTTTTTAGAGAGAGAGGAAGGGAGAGAGTGAATGAAACATCTATGTGAAAGAGAAACATCCATCGGCTGCCTCCTGCACGCCCCCTACTGGGGATTGAGCCCTCAACTCAGGCATGTGCCCTGACCGGTATTCAACCTGGACCCCTCAGTCCATGGGATGATGCTCAGTCCACTGAGCCACACCAGCTGGGCTATCATTGTTTCTTAATAATAGGTTTAATTAGCTTTGTATGTGTGCTTTTGCACAATGTTAATCTTGGGAGAAAGGAGACCATGTCATCTTGATGTTCATAATAATAAAATAAACAAACATAGTACACGTCAGAATTACTTTGCTCTTTAGGAAAACAGATTTTACAGGTGCAGAAAAGAGAACAATCCCCTGGTCACATAGATTCTTTGTGAGAGTGTAGCTCAGGGTGTGAGGAAGCAGAACAGTACTTCTCAGAGGATTATTTTAAAAGATTCAGATGAGGAATAAAATGATGTATTACCCAAAGAAATTATTGTGACTGCAACAGGGATATAACTGACTCATGAATTCTGATTTTTAAATGTGTCTGTATACAGTGTGTCTGTATAAAAGATGGAAGGATGGGCTTACTCAAGTATGTCAGCTTTGGAGGCAGTTAGACCTACTTTAAAAAAAAAATTATTGTTGAAAGTATGGCAGATGTCCCCCCTTTTTTGACCCATTGACACCCCTCCACCCCTTTCCCACTCGTTTGCCACACTATTATCTGGGTCCTTGGGTTATGCATATAAGTTCTTTGATTAATCTCTTCCTGCCCCTTCTCCCCCCTCTCCTCTGAGATTCATCAGTCTATTCCTTTGCCATCTTTCACTGCTTGCTTTGCTTAGAGCAAATAACTGATTCTGGTCCCAGTGTCATTTTCTGTAAAAGTCAGATCTGCAATACCTGCGTCACAGTGTGAAGCTCATGAGCTAGCCAGTGTGGGGCCCAGCACTGCGCCCCAACCTTCGTGTCGAACAAGCCAGAGATAGACTCCCGGCACAACGGAGCTCTGCTGACCCGCTCCCCAGTGAAAATGATTTGTACAAAACAACAAACCCAGCCATTTAAAGTCTCTGGAAATGGTCCCAAGGGTAAATGGCAAATGAAACATTTATTTAAGAGCATCTGTAAAAATTTGGCAAGTGATGAGAGAGTCTGGATATTTTAATCCTCACCTGAGGATATGTTTGCTTTTTTAATTGATTTTGAGAGAGAGAGAGAGAGACAGAGAGAGAGAGAGAGAGACAGACAGACAGACAGACATCGATCAGCAGCCTTTCCTTATGCTCCCTGACCGGTAATTGAACCCGTAGCCTTTTCGTGTACAGGACGATGCTCCAGCCAGCTGAGCCACCTGGCCAAGGCGAGCATCTGGGTTTTTGTCCTGGTGAGTGCAGTTGAAGAGTGGGGACTCCCTTCCCACTTGGCCCTTATCACAGGTGTGGGCGTGGCACGCCAAGGATGCTCCTGCTCCGAGTCACAAGTTGGGGACTTCGTCCTAAGAGAGGGAAGCTGAGAGCTCAGACTGCATCTGCTTTCTCTCCATTGAGCTCTTAGCTCCTAGAGTGAGAATGTCACTCAGAGAGAACTTTGCCCTTGTCCCCACACCTAACTTTTGAGCCCTGGCTCAGAGATTTTCCCAGAGGGAGAAGCAGACTGTAAAACAGCTCCTGATTTCTTGCACAAAGGAACTAATTTTATTTGTTGTAGAGAGTGAAGCTCGAGCCGGAAGACCCTCCCAAGAACAGTGAGGGTTGTGGTAAAGGCATTCAGAGGAGATTCAGGAGACAGGCTGGCTGTCGGCCAGCTGCTTTGCAGGAGAAGAGCCAGAGAATGAACTCAGGAGCCTACTGATGTCAGAGAGCAAAGCAGACACTAACCCTAGACACCATTGCTTCAAAGGAACCAGCATTTGATCGGATGGTTTGTAGAACAATTTTCTAGGAACCAGCATTTGATTGGATTGTTTGTAGAACAATTTTCGATCCAGGGCATTGTTGAAAACAATAGAACGACCAACCAGCCAGCAGTCACTGGAGTTGAATAGCTTGGTGTGGTCAAGGAGAGACAGGAACAGAGCCCTGCCCATACCATGGTGATCCAGTGATCTGAGGGTAACTGTGAATATGCCAAAGCTGTGTTTCCCTGAGGAACTGACTTCACTAAGACACTCTATCCAGTCACTAAACAAATAAACAAGCAGTAACAATAATATGCTCCAGAGTTCAGGGGGGTATGAGTACCCAGCAGTGCTACAATGTATTATTTGAAATAACAAGGAAGACTACCAGGCATGCAAAGAAACATGAAAGTGTGACCTATGCACTGGGGAAAAAAGCAGGTCACATAATCTGCCTGTGAGAGAGACAGGTGTCAGATTTCTCAGAGAAATACTTTAAAGTAGCCATCATGACATGTTCACAGAAACAAAGGCTCTCACAATTGAAGTAGTAAATGAAGATATGATGACAATGTTGTATCAAATAGAGAATATTAATAAAGAAATAGACATTATTTTTTAAAAGAACTAAATGGAAATTATCAAATTGAAAAATAAAGTAATAAAATATTTATTAAAGAGGCTTAACTGTAGATTTGAACTGGCAAAAGAAGTGAATTTGTAGGTAGATTGTTAGACATTATGCAAATTGAAAATCAGAGAGAAAAACAAATTAAGAACAATGAACAGAGCCTCAGAGAAATGTGGGACACTATCAAGTGCAACAACGTATGTGTAATAGGAGTACCAGAAAAGAGAGAGAGAAGAAAAACTTAACAAATATATAGAAAAATAATAACCTACAGTACATGTCTAGGAAGCTCATCAAAATCCAAGTAGGATTAAATGCCAGAGATCTACAAACAGATACATCAGAGTATGAATAGTGAGAGTCACAAAGAACGAGAAGCTATTGAAAACATCAAGAGAAAACTGATGTGTCACTTAAAGGGATCCATTAAGATCAATAGCAGATTTTTTAGCAGAAACAACGAAGGCCAGAAGGCAATAGGATAAAGTGCTGAAAAAGAACCGAAACCCACTATTAACCAAAATCCTGCATCAGGTAAACCTGTCTTTCAAAAACGAAGCCATAATACTTTTCCAGATAATTAAAAACTGCATTTTCTGTGCTGACAGACCCACTTTACAAGAAGTACTAGAGGAAGCTCTTCAGGGAGGGCAGGGGACCCGAGATGGCACTTTGAGCGCAGAAAGGCAAGAGCGCGATGAAGGCAATTGGGTGATTATCAAGACACAAGCGATGCACACTTCTTTCTTCTCTTAAACTATTCAAAAACCATCTGTATGAGATGTATTGTATGAATTAAAAGTTTTATATGTAATGAATTGTTAGGCCTACAGTGTAATAGGATATGTGTAATATACTTGCTAATAACAGCACAAAGTAGGTATGTGTGAGAAAAACTACACTGGGTCAAAGACATCTACAGGTGGTAAAGAAATAATTATAACAATGTATTGTTGGATTTGTAACATGAATTGATATAATATTTGTTAAAAGTACTACATAAGGGGGTAAAAGAATAGATCTATAAAGGAGTAA